ATATTTTTAAATGGCTACTCTTTGGCCTCTCTTTCTAATTTTTGGAGACCGTGCTTTACCCTGGTACCCTCAGTTCTGTGATGGAGGAGTTGTTGATTTCAGGTTTCTTGGCTTTTGTCTTCTGAGGACTGGGAGCCAGCTTCTAAGCTCCTCATGTGCCCAACCAGAGACCAGAAGTCTCTGACTCCTTTTTTTGATGTCAACCCTCATCTCTCCTTCCTCCCCTTGTGCCCCACATCTGTACAAGGGGACCAAACACCCTGGGTGCTCCTTCCTTTGGTTTTGGCAAATGATTCAACCCACAGAAGGCCCTGCCCCTGTACCCCAACTCTCACCCTAGCACACCCCCAAGCCCTAATAAAAAACCCAGGCCAGGCAGCTTTCCTTGCTCTCTCCAGGCATTTCCCACCTGCTTGAGAGGCCTGCCCAGCGCTGCCCTCTCTGGATGCTTGCATTATGGAAATAAGAAACACTTTCATACCCTCTAGGCATGTGTGTGTTGTCAGTATAGACAATCTGAACCATATCTTGGGTGGGGGTCCACCTGCCCATGAAGTGGACCCTAATAGTCATAGAATGGGTAACCTGGTACGTATTTTGCAATCCTCTCTGCTTTATTGTTCTACTGATAAATCCTCCAGATCTTTTGATGTTAGTGCATGCCATCCTCATATGAGTCTCCAAGTGCTAATGCACAAAAAATTCCATGAACATTGATGTGGGGCTGCCTAGCAAATGATCAAGAAAGAATTCTTGACATATTTTTGGGGCAAAATGGGGCTTTTCTTAAAGCACTGGGACAGGACCGGTGGGCAGAAGGAGCTGCCGTGGGATTGTGAGGAGTAACTGATTCTACACTTTTTAGTTAGCGGGGGGGGGGGGGGGGGGGTTAGGGATAACGTAAGTCTCTAAGGAATTTGTGTGCTGAAAGCAGGGTCTCTAGCACTTTGGAGGGCTAGCTGTTAAGATAAGGTTGTTCTTTTAGTAAAGCATTAGTCATGAGACTCTTTAGATGTGTGTCAGTGGGCCATATGTTGAAAGATGATTGTTATACCCTGGGAGTATGTGACACTATGTTAGAGTCAAGTGACACAAACCAGAGCAAAGGTACAATGGTGAAACATTAAAGAAAATCTTTGAGGGGTGCCTGGGTGGCTCAGTCGGTTAAGCGTCAGATTCTTGATTTCTGCTCAAGTCATGATCTCAGGGTTGTGAGATTGAGCCGCACATTGGGCTCTGTGCTAGGCGTGGAGCCTCCTTGAGATTTTTCTCTCTCCCTCTGCCCCTCTCCCCCAAATAATAAATAAATCTTTTTTATTTTTAAGATTTTATGTATTTAAGAGAGAGCACAAGCAGGGGGAGTAGCAGGCTCCCTGTTGAGCAGGGAGCCCAATGCGGGACTCTAGCCGAGGACCCCAGGATCATGACCTGAGCTGAAGGCAAATGCTTAACTGACTGAGCCACCAATAAATAAATCTTTAAAAAAAAAAAGAGAGAGAGAAAATCCTTGAGGGAGTTACAGGAGTGTTACACCCTGTATGTCTCAGGGATTTTTCAGTGGGCTGCAAGTTGTAAGGAGACTTCATTTTAGCTACATTTCTCTTGCCTTTGTTCTCCCCATCGGACATTGTTGAAAAATTGCTGGGCTGTAGATAGTGATCAGGCCAAATTTTATAGGAAATGACAATGGATTGTATCACTCAGCCCTCCTCCATTCTTGCATAAGTTTCGGAATTGTTCCCAGTGGTCTTTAACACGTGGGATTATTAAATTGACTTACTTTTTGTTCTAACCACTGAAATGGAGCTGTTCCAGTTGTCTAATGGGTAGGGCACTGGCCTCCTATGAAATGGGATCTACTGGGCATTTTATTGGCCTGTTACTTCATTACCAAGGTGATGGACATTTTTTCATATATGATCTTTCGTCTGATGTTAGATGTGTTTTGCTTCTTTTTCCATTTTTAAATTGTGTCCGTTTCTTGTTACCCTGCAAACTAACCCTTTTACATTGCATGTATCGCTGATATGTTTTCTTCCCCTTTTTATCTTTTAACTATCTAAATTTTAATATATTTGTATTTGTCAGTCTCTGGCTTTATGGTGTATTTTTTTCTTACAACAGAATATTCTCCCTATTCTTGTGTCAACAAAACCTTTACCAGTGACTTCTACAGTTGTCCTCGTTTGATCTTTCACATTTAAATCCACAATGAATTGGGTATTTTCCATGGAATAGAAGGGAATATAACACCCTTTTCCAAATAGATAACACTTTGTCCCTGCCCCGTGTATTCATGGTAACTGCCACTGCCCTAAAATGCCTGATCTGTCCTTAACCAAATTTCCATATTTAATACCAGCCCATGGAAGACACTTCCTTTCCCTTGGTCTGTTTTTCTCTCTGCTAATACTGTATGGTCTGGAATACCATAGCTTGACAATCCTTGATGTATGTTAGGTAGACCACCACTTTGTTCTTCTGAAGACTCTGTCCATTTCTCGGCATTCATTCCTCATATTAGGTTTGGATGGGCAGGCACCCCTCAAAGATTTTCTTTAATGTTTCACCATTGTACCTTTGCTCTGGTTTGTGTCACTTGACTCTGATAACCACAACCTCCCAGGGTATGATAACAATCATCTTTCAACATGTGGCCCACTGACACACATCTAAAGAGTCTCATGACTAATGCTTCCTCATATTAGGTAGGTTTTGTTGACTCCTAAAGAATCTGTTTTGGGGGCTTATGGAATTTTACAAATACCATTTGGGAGAGGTGACATCTGGGTGGCACTTAATTCTTTCTAAGACTATGTGCTTAGATTTTATTCTGCTTTGATTGACACTTCCCAATAGCCAATTCTTATTTTTTCTCATGAATATCATTAAATAGCCTTTATTAGTCTTGTTTAGTAGGAATTAAATTTGGTGTGGAGGAAACCAGGAACAAGCTCCCAAATGTTGTCTCATAGGATGGGCTCCGTTCTCCAAGCAAGAAGTTGGGAGAACACGTGAATTATTGTCTACCAGGGAGCTCAGTAGAGACTCAGGGCCCAGAGTGTTTTCTGCGGGCTGATCATGTGGGCTCATTGGCACCGTGTGCCCAACATGTAACAAAGTTACTGACTCTAAAAAGGAAAACAGGAGTTTACTATCTACCATACTATTTGCATAAAAACTTCAAGGCATACTGAAGCATTCCTCTCTATAAGGTTATGGGTCTCTCCCCACATCCCATACAAACTTTGTGAGCAAGCATTTATCAGGATAAACAACGGCCTTGGGCCTCCTGATGTTCACTTCCACCTGCAACCTTTGTTCCAGGGGGGTGCTACAGATGAGTTGTAGAAAGTAATGGGGGCCGACCCAGGCAGCTAACTTTACTCTCTGAACTCACAACAAAAGAGGCATTACTATTTTTGCTGTTGTTCCACTGAATACATCAGTTCTAGCCTCAGAATTGCTGGGTGGGAGCCTTGTCTCTGTTCCCTGGCACAGAACATTTGTGAGCTGTTGATCTCTTGCTAGGACCAGCATTTAGGGGAATTATGCTGCTGGGGGATTCCTATTCCCCGGGATGGCTGCTCCACTTGACCTGGGAGCTCTCAAATGAGAGAGGTTGGGAGGACAGCCTCTAGAGTGGTGGGAGGACAGCCTCTAGAGTGGTGGTCGGGCATCCTTTGCTGCTGAAATTAGAGCAAGGGGATTTTACATGTTTTGAAGAAAAGCTCTGTTCAAGTCTTTCTGTGTGTTGTGATCATGTGCAAATTCACCATCAAAGGATTGTGGATTTCAATGAGTGCCCTTGCAAATTCCAAGTCTTGACCTGTTCTGCAAGGTCATCAAGGCCCAGGTTGCAGTGTTACGAATCTGCTGGAAAGAACTTCTCTGTGATCTTATCCTAATATACCCCGAGGCTGGAAGGAACTTCTCTGTGATCTTATCCTAATATACCCTGAGGCTCACGAGTATAGGGATGTTGCGGATGTCTAAGTTGTTATGTGTTCTTCCTCATGCCTGAGCTCTAACTCTGAATAACTCCCTGGCCCCATGAAATGAGACAGAAAAAAAAGGTAAAACTGAGCATGATAAGTATTATATGAACAAATTATAATTATACTCCTCCACAGGAATATGTTCGTTTAGCCAGCTGGATCTGACTACTTTTTTTTTTTTAAGATTTTATTTATTTGTCAGAGAGAGAGCACAAGCAGGGGGAGCAGCAGAGTGAGAGGGAGAAGCAGGCTCCCCCCACACCCTGAGCTGGGAGCCCGACACGGAGCTTGATCCCAGGACCCTGAGATCATGACCTGAGCTGAAGGCAGCGGCTTAACCAACTGAGCCACCCCGGTGTCCCTGGGTCTGACTACTTCTAATGGCCTGGAGGACTGCAGGACAATCTGGCCAGCTGGACTTTGTTACAAGTTGCATTTCCACAGGCCTCTCGGCCTCTCCTATTTGGGGATGGGACTAGAAGAACAAGCTTCCAGCTCTTCATTGTGTTTTTATTCATTAAAACGTCAATCAGGGGCACCTGGATGGCTCAGTGGGTTAAGCGTCTGCCTTTGGCTCCAGTCATGATCCCAGGGTCCTGGGATCAAGTCCCACATCAGGCTCCCTGCTCAGTGGGGAGTCTGCTTCTCCCTCTGCCCCTCTCCCACTCGTGCTCTATCTCGCTCTCTCTCAAAGAAATAAATGTAATCTTAAAAAAAAACCAAAACACTTCAGGGGCACCTGGGTGGCTCAGCCATTAAGTGTCTGCCTTCGGCTCCTGGGATTGAGCCCCGCATCGCGCTCCCTGTTCCAGGGGAGCCCTGCTTCTCCCTCTCCCACTCCCCCTGCTTGTGTTCCCTCTCTCGCTGTGTCTCCCTCTGTCAAATAAATAAATAAAATCTTTAAAAAAAAAAAAAGATATCTAAGTCTTCAAAGACGTAAAAAAAACCAAAAACAACACTTCAATCATATATGGTGCTGTGCTTCATGAAGTGCTTTATGATATGGTGGTATTAAAGGAGGAGATGGAAGACTTTGTCTTTCAAGGTTTTGATGTACTTAAAATGGAAATATTGGGACGCTTGGGTGGCTCAGTCAGTTAAGCATCTGCCTTCAGCTCAGGTCATGATCCCAGGACCCTGGGATCCAGCCCTGCATTGGGCTCCCTGCTCAGCGGGAAACCTTCTCCCTCTGCCCCTCCCCCTGCTTGTGCGCTCTCTATCTCTCTGACAAATAAATAAAATCTTAAAAAATAATAATAAAATTTTTAAAAAATAAAATGGAAATATTAATTTTATTTGACTATAATTTCTCCAAGTTGTTCTGTACCTGACAGTAGAGACTGATGAAGAGTTGAAGTGATCACAATAAAAATGTAGCGGTAAGGGCGCCTGGGTGGCTCAGTTGGTTAAGCGACTGCCTTCGGCTCAGGTCATGATCCTGGAGTCCCGGGATCGAGTCCCGCATTGGGCTCCCTGCTCGGCAGGGAGTCTGCTTCTCCCTTGGACCCTCCCCCCTCTCATGTGCTCTCTCTCTCTCATTCTCTCTGTCTCAAATAAATAAATAAAATCTTAAAAAAAAAAATGTAGCGGTAAATCCCACTTGTTCATGATGCTGTTAAATTCATGAGGAAATGGGTGTGACCAGAGAGGAAGAGTCTGATGACCCAGTCATAGAATAGATGTTGAGAAATCGAAGTCCTATGTGAATTTCTTACGAATTGAGTAGAGATCTCCAGTGCTGTCTCACCCATCCTCCTGTACACATGCATGGGATGTTTCAGGACTCAGTGGCCTTTGAGGATGTGACTGTGAACTTCACCCTGGAGGAGTGGGCTCTTCTGAATCCATCCCAGAAGAAACTCTACAGAGATGTGATGCAGGAAACCCTCAGGAACCTGGCCTCAATAGGTGAGGGTGACAACATTCTTAATTACGAGTCCATTAGAGAACCAGTGTGACTTGCTCATGAGGGCTGTTTCGAGAGGTGAAATGTGGAAAGGGAATATGTTAGTGAATAAACAAGGCATGGTCATAGGTCCATATTCATGGACCTAGAATCTAACAATTTTTAATAAAATTTTATAATTTATTAAATTATAATTTAGTAATTATTATATATTTAATATATAAATATACTTAATAATTATATTTACTATAATTTATATGAGATTTCGACTCAGGTCATGATCTCAGGGTTGTTAGATCGATACCCACATCGGGCTCTGTGCTGGGCGTGGAGATTCTCTCTCTTCCTGGGGCACCTGGGTGGCTCAGTCGTTAAGCGTCTGCCTTTGGCTCAGGTCCTGATCCCAGGGTCCTGGGATCAAGCTCCACATTGGGCTTCCTGTTCAGCAGGGAGCCTGCTTCTCCCTCTCCCACTCCCCCTGCTTGTGTTCGCGCTCTCTCTGTGTCTCTCTCTATCAAATAAATAAATAAAATCTTAAAAAAAAAAAAAAAGATTCTCTCTCTCCCTGGGGCACCTGGGTGGCTCAGTCGTTAAGCATCTGCCTTCGGCTCAGGTCATGATCCCAGGGTCCTAGGATCGAGCCCCGCATTGGGCTCCTGCTCAGTGGGAAGCCTGCTTCTCCCTCTCCCATTCCCCCTGCTTATGTTCCCTCTCTCACTGTGTCTCTCTCTGTCAAATAAATAAATAAATAAAAATCTAAAAAAAAAAAAGATTCTCTTCCTCACCCTCTGCCCCCCCATCCCTCTCTAAAAATAAATAAATAAATAAATTTTTATAATTTGTACGGCAGAAAGCTGTGTATTTTGTTTTTTTAAAAGATTTTATCTATTTATTTGAGAGAGAGAACAAGCAGGGGGAGGGGCAGAGGGAGAGGGACAAGCAGACTCCATGCTGAGCAGGGAGCCTGATGCAGGACTCAGGGACTCATGGGACCCCAGGGACCCCCAGGACCCTGGGACCATGACCCGAGCCAAAGGCAGATGCCCAACCGACTGAACCAGGCGCCCGCTACTGTGCATTTTAGAAGAAAAATGGGAAGACCATGACAATGAAGATCAGGATGAAAATTCTGGGACGAATCTGAGGTGAGTCCCACTCACGTGAGAAAGCAAGGTCCCAGGAGCGAATCTAGAGATGTCATGAAATTTTTAAAAAAGCAAGTAAAGCAAATCAGCCCCGCTTCAAATTTGTAGATTCTTAGAATATTTTCATCAAAATTTTTATCAAATATGACCTAGGGGCACCTGGGTGGGTCAGTCAGTTAAGCATCCGACTCTTGATTTCTGCTCAGGTCATGATCTCAGGGATGTGAGATGGAACCCTGCATTGGGCTCCGTGCTGAGCATGGAGTCTGCTTAAGATTCTTTCCCTCTCCCTCTCTCTCCTCCTCTGCTCCCCGTCCCCCCACAGCTTGCGTACTCTCTCCTCTCCCTCTTTCTCAAATAAATAAATAAATAAAATCTTTTAAAACTTGTACTACACTCACCATCTTATGATGATGTGATGATAAAATGCCTACACAATGAGAAGTGAGGTGAATGACTTAGGCATTGTTATATAGCATCAGGTTACTGTTGATCCTCTGACCATGTATCAGAAGGATCATCTGCTTCTGGACTGTGGTTCGCCACAGAAAACTGAAACCATAGAAAGTGAAATTGCAGATGAGGGGAGGGAACTGCTGTATATTCACTCTCAATCAGAAATGATAGGAGGGGCGCCTGGGTGGCTCAGTTGGTTAAGCGACTGCCTTCGGCTCAGGTCACGATCCTGGAGTCCCTGGATCGAGTCCCACATCGGGCTCCCTGCTCTGCAGGGAGTCTGCTTCTCCCTCCGACCCTCCCCCCTCTCATGTGCTCTCTCTCATTCTCTCTCTCTCAAATAAATAAATAAAATCTTAAAAAAAAAAAAAAGAAATGATAGGAAACCAATACTTTCCTTGAAAATAGTTTAAAAAGTCATTTTTACAATTATTAATATAAAATTATTAATATATAAGCTAATAATAATATGCGTCTCATTTTTTCCAGCAGACATACAGTAGAAAGACTCTGTAAAAGAAAACAAGGTTGTCAATGTGGAAAAACCTTCAGCCAGATTCCATATCATAATCAGAAGAAGAAAAGTCCTACTGGAATAAAGCTACGTAAATGCACTTTGTGTGGACAAGTCTTCATGTGTCATTCATCCTTTAACAAGCACATGAGATCTCACATTGGCCACAAACCATATGAGTATCAGGAATGTGAAGAGAAGCCTTATAAATGTAAGGAATGTGGGAAATCCTTCAAGCATCGCCAATCCATTCGAATGCATGAAAGGACACACACCGGACAGAGGCCCTATGAATGTAAACACTGTGGGAAAGCTTTTATTTGTCACAATTACTTTCAAATTCATGAAAGGGCACACAGTGGGGAAAAGCCCTACAAGTGTACAAAATGTAGTAAAACCTTTATTCAAGTAACTTACGTAAACATGAAAGGACTCATATTGGAGAGAAACCTAGTGAATGTAAGCAATGTGGTAAAGCTTTCAGTTGTCTCAGGTCCTTTCGAATACACGAAAGGATACACAGTGCCAAAAAGCCTAAGGAATGTACAAAATGTGGTAAAACCTTCAGTTACTCAAGTAATTTACGTAAACATGAGAGAAGTCATAATGGGGAGAAACCCTATGAATGTAAGGAAAATGGGAAAGCCTTGCATTCATTCTTTCACCAAATTTCGAAGATACATGATCAAGCAAAATGAAGATGGATTTTATAAGTATAAGGAGTGTGAGAAAGCCGTCAGGTGTCCCAGATCCTTTCAAAGCCATGAACCGGGGGTGCCTGGGTAGCTCAGTCAGTTAAGCGACCGTTCTTCGTTTTGGCTCAGGTCATGATCTCGCAGTCATGAGGTCAAGCCCCACATCGAGCTCTGCACTGAGGGCGGAGTGTGCTTGAGATTCTCTGTCTCTCTCCCTCCACCTCTCCCCCAGCCCTGCTTGCACATGCTTTCTCTCTCTCTCTCTCTCTCTCTCTCAAATAAATGACTAAATAAAAAGTCTTTAAAAAAAACAACAACAAAAACCAAAGACATGAACGGGGCACACAGTGCCCTATGAATATAAGGAATGTGGTAAAGCCTTCCTTTCTCCCAGATGCCTTGAAAAACATAAAAGAATACATAATGGGAAGAAACCTCGTGAACGTAGGAATGTGGTAAAGCTTTCTGTTATCCCAGTTTCCTTGGGAAACATGAAAGAAGTCATAGCGGGGAGAAACCTGTGAGTGTAAACTATGTGGTGAGGCCTTCAGCAGTCACCATGATGGTCAAAAACATGAAAGAACTCACACTGAAATGAAACTCTATGAATGGAAACTCTATGAATGTGCGAAAGCCTTCACTTATCCTTCAGGTGTTCAGTCACACGTGGTAATCCACACTGGAGATGGACCTTATAAAGGTAAGGCGTGTAAGAAGGCATTTGCTTGGGCACCTGGGTGGCTCAGTTGGTTCGGTGACTGCCTTCGGCTCAGGTCATGATCCTGGAGTCCCGGGATCAAGTCCCACATCGGGCTCCCTGCTCAGCGGGGGGTCTGCTTCTCCCTCTGACCCTCCCCCCTCTCATGCTCTCTCTCTCTCTCATTCTCTCTCTCAAATAAATAAATAATCTTAAAAAAAAAAAAAAAAAAACCAACATTCACTTCTCCCAGGGCATCACAAACATGGAAAAACTCACACTGGAGAGAAACCCCATCAATGTAAAAATTGTAGTAAAGCCCCCACCACAGTTCAACTTTGAAGACCCAGCACAGTTTGGATTTCCTGCAAGCCGTCATGTGTCCACCAGGAAACAGATTTATACAGTCGTGGTTGAGAATGTTCTCTGAAGCGCTGCTCCCCTCTTCTCTAGGTCATATTTATATAAGCTCTAATTTGTATAGTAAACACCTTGTTCTCTTAATACCACTAGTGACTTGTGTTCCTCTCTCTGCCATGACAGCTCCCTGGTGCAGTCCACAAGAACTGTGTGGGAGTTCCTTCTCCTACTGCACCGTGCAGTGCCTGCTGTGTGACCCAGTCCTTCCCTGTGACAAGTGACACCTTCCTCATAACGGGCAGATTCTGGGTGTTTCATAGCTGAGTGTCATCCCTCAGTATGTGCTCAATTAAGTTGGAGTCTGTGTGATTAAAAGTATGTGCATGTTTTCCCCTAATGAATATTTCTATATTTTTTCCTTGGAAATATCTGTTTTCCATGTCTTCCTATGCTAAGAAATATGTTTCTTATTTCCTCTGGGGACATGTTAACATGTCGTATCGTAATTATGAATGTTCATGTCAGCTTGTAGGGTTCATACATTCTTTTTTGTTTTTTTAAAGATTTTATTTATTTATTTGACAGAGTGAGACACAGCAAGAGAAGGAACACAAGCAGGGGGAGTGGGAGAGGGAGAGAAGCAGGCTTCCCGCGGAGCAGGGAGCCTGATGCGGGGCTCGATCCCAGGACCCTGGGATCATGACCTGAGCCGAAGGCAGATGCTTAATGACTGAGCCACCCAGGCGCCCCAGCATTCATACATTCTAAGTCAATATTATCACCTTCATAAAAGTTCAGGCATTTCCCCCCCCAAATGTTCTATTTTATTTTTTAAACTTAGATGTAACCGATATAGTTTTTTTTTCAAACAAAAGGCCTCACATATTTATTTATTACTAAACCAACCTACTGGTGCAGAAGCATAGTAACAGAGAAGAATCATTTCCCCAATAAAACATGTCTACTGTTCAGGTGGTAAGGATGTTTACAGAGTGATAGGATACAAGCACGTGACCTTTGCATAAATATGTGGGCCATCTCGTGTGAGATCACTTACAGACCCAGCTTGGTTCTCTCCAAAGCCTCTTCGTGGAGTTGTACCAGATTTTATTTTTTTAAGAGATTTTATTTATTTATTTGACAGAGCACAAGGAAGAGGAGCAGCAGTGGGAGAGGGAGAAGCAGGCTCCCCGCTGAGCAGGGAGCCCGACGCGGGGCTTGATCCCAGGACCCCCGGGATCATGACTTGAGACGCTTAACCAACTGAGCCACCCAGGCGTCCCTGTTCGTTCCAGATTTAACAGGCCAAATTCAGCTGTTCAGAGGAGAGGCATGGGGAATAATTAACCCTTCACTCAATAGGCTTTGTATATGGTTTCAATCCTTCAAGGGCCTGTGCAATTTCCACTGGGCCAGATTAGTCGCTTTATTTGAAGGATAAGGTTCATGGGGTCCCATCTTTTTCAAGATTATTTGTAAGTGGCAATGGCTTACCTTAATTTTAGTTTATGAATCATTTGTTCAGAGCTTCCCAGCTCACTATGGGATATTTTAGGACAATGGGTGCTGTGACCATGGGGGTTTACAGAGGACCATACTTCTGATGGTCAAGGAGAAACTGCTCTATTTGTCCCCTATATACTAGTCAGTAACAGCCCTGAGATCATCCAGGCTACCCTGCTTAAATGGAGCGGGATCCCAGCTATACCTGTAATTTAAGACCTAGTATTTTAATTTTATCCGGGGGGGGGGGACAGAGAATATTAAGTAGCCTCCAGGCTCATCACAGAGCCAGACACAGGCTGGATCTCAAGAGTTGGACTGTTTTTTTTTTTTAAGATTTTATTTATTTATTTGACAGAGACAGTGAGAGAGGGAACACAGGCAGGGGGAGTGGGAGAGGGAGAAGCAGGCTTCCCGCCGAGCAGGGAGCCCGATGCGGGGCTCGATCCCAGGACCCTGGGATCCTGACCTGAGCCGAAGGCGGACGCTTAACGACTGAGCCACCCAGGCGCCCCAAGACCTAGTATTGATTAACTGAAGGTTTCTGAATTAGTGCATTATGCCAGGTAGCAAAATTAATCCAGAATTTATGTTGTAGAGGCTAAAAGCCAAGCAGTGTACTTTTATCTGCCGGATTTACAATTTGGTCAAATTGTGGTCTTTTGTTTCCGTATTTTATCTATTAGTTCCTTACCCTTGACCGTCCCTGTTTTGTTTTCTTTGTCTATACTTCAGGGGAGCAGGTGTCCTCTCTACCCTGGTATTTATACATTTTTCCTCCTCAAACCACTGCATCAGGGTTAGGAGCCTCTCCCATGACAACCAGTGGCTTTACTGGGTTTACGGACCATGGGCTTATGTCAGCTTTGAACTAATCCCTTTGCTGTGCCCCAGGGGGCGGGGGGGGGGGGGCGGTGGAGACCATGAGTGTCGCCCCCTGGAGCTCAGGCTCCGGATCTTTGCTGCAGCAGAGGCCGTGGCCTCAGAGGGACTGAGGGTCCTGACGAGCTTCCCGAGAGCAGGAGTGTGGACCCAGCCTGCCATCTGCTGGCTGCCTTTGACCTTCTCTCTCTCTACGTAAATGACTATCTCAGGAGTGACCACCCAGTGGGCCCCCCTCTTGCACAGGATAGAGTCCTCTCTGCCACCCCACCCTCTGTCACAGCATCACCCTAACACAGAGAGAAACCAGCAAACACATCAGCCGGGGACCACCTGAAGGAGGGCCTCGATCTAACACTCCTGCTCTCACATGCCTAGGGCTTCTGTAAACTGCCGACTCTGGCCGGCCGAACACAGAACTGAGGCTTGGGAGGGTCACACATGCGACACGGGGCAGTACAGGTCACAGCACGAGCTCCCCAGCCCCGAGCACCCGCGGAACATGCCGCCATCAAGCATCAGAGCAGCTGAGCAAGTCAGAGCAAGAGAAGCAGACCCACAGCATAGCAGTCACGCCTGGACGTGGCTCACGGTGCCAGTAATTATGGTCACCTGCACAGGAGTCTTTCAAATGTTGAGATCAATGACAGTGAACACCCCACCCCATCACACACGCTCAGAGGGTAGCAAGAGGCTTAGGACTCACAGAAGTATCGGGGAAGGTAGGCAAGCCTCTCAAGCACCTCGGAAATGGCTTCAGAAAGTAAGCAAGGAAGGAGGGGCGCCTGGGTGGCTCAGTCGGTTAAGCCTCTGCCTTCGACTCAGATCATGATCTCAGGGTCCTGGGATGGAGCCCTGCATCGGACTCCCTGCTTGGTGGGGAGCCTGCTTCTCCCTATCCTCCCCACTTGTGCTCTCTCTCAAATAAATAAAAGAAAAGAAAAAGAAAGCAAGCAAGCAAGCAAGGAGAGCTGGCTGGGTGTTCACTGTGTGTTGGGGGTGGGAGAGGAGACCAGCTCCTCTAGCTGGGAGCACAGGCGGCAGGAACGGGGGGTGTGGCACAGACGGCGGGGTGAGGCGTAAGCTGTCAGCACTCAAACACCCAAAAATACAAAGCCTGACTGCTTATTGCGAGGAATAACGCGGGGAAGAAAAACCTGCATTCACAATTGCTTGATTTTATAAAAAGAAACCCAAACAGGAGTCAGTGTCCGTATTCTCTAGAGACACATAGGAACAAAAACTGATCCCAAAATGCAGTATGTACCCGAGAACTTAAATACATTGATCTCCCATCTTGAGGTTCTCTTGCTTAAATGGAACGCAAATTCTATTTGGTTTCCCTAATTTTCTAGCTTTCCCCATACCCTATCTCTCAATCAACTTACAGTTTAGCAGCCCAAGTGCTGAGGGAAACCAGAGCCAAAGGGCTGCACTATTTATCAGGAAAGGAAGCCAGGAGGGAAGCCTGAGAGGCTCAGTCGGTTAAGCGTCTGCCTTCGGCTCAGGTCATGATCCCAGGGTCCTGGGATCAAGCCCCGAATCAGGCTTCTTGCTCAAC